ACGTGCTGTCACAGAGCTGCTTCTCGGGAGCAGTGCAGACGGGAGCGGCCAGGACCAGCACCTCGGCCACCCCGGTTTTAAGCCCAGTTTTAATTAAGTACAAAGCCATTCCCCAAAGGCCCAGCCGCTGCCTCCCTGACAGCGAGGCCCACCCCAACCCCCACCCTGTGAGCAGAGCCTGCAGCACCCGGGCCCAGCCACCCTCCGGAAGCCTGGGTCCCGCGCTCTGCCTGGGAGGCAGTGTCCCCTAGTGGTTAGCTGAGCCCCATACAGCTGGGTCCCGGTGCCTCCAGGAGACCCAGCCTTCACTGCCTTCTTTCCCAGCCCCTGTCTGAGGGACACTCAAAGCCGGGAGGCAGGGAGGGGTGTGTCTAAGGAACACCCTTCGTCACCAGCAGCCCTCCGTCTACACCGGGGCCACTGCCCCCATCACAAACCAGCCCAAATATTCTCCCTCCTGGCCCATCAGAGGCTGGGTCAGGCTGCCCACGCAGGCGGACACACAGCTCTCAGGAACAGGGGACCACGCTGAGCCCAGGAAGCCCACCCTTCCAGGGGCCCACCCAGGAGGCCTAGGCAGCTGGTCGTTGAGGCAGGCCTGGCAGTCCCGAGAGATGGAGATGGACAGGCCAGCAGAGACCCAGGGAGACAGACCACAAGCTGTGAACAAACCCGCCATCCAGATGCCTCCCCGGCCCCCCAACGCTCCTCACACCTGCCAAGGGGTCCACACGCAGCCCCTTCTGTTGGTTCTGTCCTCTGGGCTCCTATTCCCGTCCCTTCTCCTCACCGACGCCTGTTCCACCTTCACGTCCTCGGCTCAAGCACCCCGTTCCCTGATCCCGGGCCCCAGCAGGCTCCCCGGTCGCCCCACCTCAGAGGGCTGCCTTCCTGCCTTCAGAGCCCAAGGCTCCGAGGTGGGAGGGAAAGTATCTGATTGCAGTCTGACCCCCGCTCCCAACTGTAGCTCCCCGAGCGAGACTTAACAGCTGCTCGTTTTCCCTTTCCCCCAGAGCCTGCACTGCACCTGGCCCACAACCGGTGCTCAACACGAATGAATGAATGTGTGAATGAATGGGCAGGAAAGGAGGGAGGGAGGGACAGACAGAAGAGCCAGGGAGCCAGGGGTGCCCAGCAGGACACCTTGCGAGCCAGCCCCCCATCCCCACAGCAATACCTGTGGCCGACCTCCCCTCCCCCACTCTCACTGCCCCCCACGCCCCCCCCCCCGCAGCTCTGCGGGGTGGGAGGCAGCACGAGCAAGGCCAGGGTGGGAGTTTCAAAGCCCAGGGCTGCAGTGAATCCAGCAAACAACTTCCACAAGGCGAGTCGAGGCCCCTGAATGCTGACATCACCCGCAGAGCCGCTGACCCCAGGGAGCGGCTGAGCTCTGGGGGCCGCAGGCAGCAGTAAACAGACATCCAGCCGCCGCTCAGGCAAACAGGCCTTGCGCAAACACGGCCCTCTCCACGGGGCCCTCTCCACTCCAGCTGCTTCTAGGGGATGCCAGGCCGGCGGGCGGGGGCCAGGGCATGGCAGGAGCACCCTGGGGTCACACTGTCCATTCCCCTGTCTTTTCCTCCAGCCATGCCCCCACCCTGGCCATCTTGGGGTGACTGCCTCGTGGCAGAGGAATGAATACAGCTGCCTCATGTCTGGTGCCCGAGCAGGCCTGAACTTTGTCTCAGGGAGAACGACCCAGGTTCTAGGGAGGCGACCCCCCAAACACACACACCAAGGGCAGCAAGTAGGCCTGAGGCCAGCGCCAGCCCCACCCTTCCAGAGCTACTGCGGCCTCTCCGATGGTAAGCACCCTGGGGCAGCCACCACCCACCCCACTGCTGGCATTTAAGACCCCCAGCCACGCCCACACGCGTCACACCCCTCCTGGTCCATACGCACACAGCCCATCCCATGAGGGATCCAAGACAAAACCCCTCAGCCTCACCCCTGTTGCTCCTGGACACTCCCACTGTCACTGGAGCTGACACCCCAGCCAGCTGGCACATGAGATCCCACCCAGAATGGACTTTGGTGGCTGTGGCGGGGTGCCGAGGCATCCTTCCTGCTACTCCAAGGCCTGCAGAAGCTGAAAGCCCTCAGCCCAGCGTGATCCAGGGGTGGGGACCCCAGGGGGCAACACACTGCTAGGCATAAACTCTGTTAGAAGTTTCATATGCATCATCTCATAGTGGGTACCCCAAGGTGGGAACTGCTATTACCCCACTTTACAGATGAAGATACTGAGGCCCAAGGAGATCCAGTCACTGGCTTGAAGTCAGCAGGCCAGGCAGAGAACCCTCCCCAGGAACCACAAGTCCCTAGGACCCTGGGGCAGAAGGGCTGGCCCAGCCAGATGCCCCCCGCGCACAGCCCCAGACAGGCCCCATCTCTGAGATCAGGCCATTTCTCAGCCCTGACTCCAGGGTAGCCTGGCTGGCCGGGGAGGTGGCTGCCAGCAGGTCCCCAGTTCCCCGAGGACACAGTGGGGCCATCTACATCTCAGGGCAGGGCCTTCACCCACTCACCACAACTCCTGAGCCATCTGCCCCTTCCCCGGGCAGGGGGGCAACCTGCCCTGCCCCGCCCAGCCCTGCCTCCCTGCCTCTGTCCCACCTGACTGGGCAGAGGGAGCTGTGCCCAGCGGGCCCCAGGGGCCTCATCCTCCCCTGCACCAGGGCAGCCGCTTCCTGACAAGCGCCCCTGTACTGGGCCTCTGCAGGCAGTCAGCTGGTTCCGGGCCTGCCTCGCTGTCCCTCGACACCCGCACTCAGGGTGCCCACCCATTCTCACAGGGTGGGAGAGCCGTTATATCCCCCTGTGCAGGCAAGGAAGTGGGTCCCCAGAGGTACAGGCCTGGGGCCACCCAGTGGGTGACACAGGCTCAGCCACCAGGCCTCAGTCTGTGCAGAGCTGAGTCTTGCAGGCCAACGCCCTCCCCGCAGAGCCCTGGCAGCAGGTGATACGATGGGGCGGCAGCAGCCCTCCCACCCACCATCTCCTTAGAGATCAGCTGGGTGGACCTCCCAGGGGCTCACGCTGACGTGAGGCCTCAGAGGAGACACGAGGGGGGACACCAAGAAGGGCGCTGCTGCTGAGGGTCACCGCCAGGCTGATGTCTACCAACAGGCCCCTGGCTGGGGGGAATCTGACCCCCCCAGCCCTCCGGGTGCCCTCAGCCCTCGGGGGCCCCTTCAACAGGAGCAGGGCATCTGTCCACCTCACCCCATTTTATAATGCATCCTGTCCCCGCCAAACTCAGCCTCAGGGGGCGAGTACACTCAACAAGGCGAACTGAGGCTCAGAGAAGCAGGGACTTTCAACTAGTAAGTGGTAGAGCGAAGGCACACAGACCGGGGCTTAGGGGACATGCTACAGGCTACAGCAGCCCCAGGGCGTGCCTGGCTCAAACTCATGCCGGGGAGGCTTTTTACTGAAGAGTGTCCAGCCCTGTGTCTATGTGAGGTCAAGGGGCCAGGGACGTGCACAGAGGCCACCCCCCACCTCCATACACAGACACTCTGTCTGCCCTCCTCTCTCCTGCTCTCAAACTGGCCCGTGTCTGACCCTTCAGCCAGGATGTGACAGCCCCTCGGCTCTTCCTGTCCCTCACACTTACCAGGGCCCCCTCTCTGCCTGCTCAGCTGGGCAGTACTCCCTCCCAGGCATGGGCCCTGGCAGCTCAGGCCATTTCCATTTAAACCTCTGAAGAAGCCCTGAACAGTCGCCCACGGAGTCGGCACCAGCTGACAGGTGATGTTTGCGCCTCTCCTCCTGGGGCTGGCAGGAAGAGATGCAGTTGGCTTTCACTCCAGAAACCTGAGCCTGGAGACCTTGAGCGTAGCCAGCTTCCCCACGGCTGCTGAGCAGAGAGGGGCATGCCCCAGCCCACATCCTTCTGCCAGGGGCATCCTGCGTTCTGTGGGGCTCTGAGCCCCACACAGGCAGCCTCCTCCCCAACTCCTGAGCCACCTGGGGAGGGAGACAAGAGAGACTGGTCTCTGTCCTCCCTGAGGGTGCAGGGGCCAGGGTGGGGCAGGGCAGGACCCAGATGCCCCCCACCTCTGCCCCCAGCCTAGGCTTTATTTATTCACATCAGGTCTCTGGCTTGGGCTACAAGGGCCTCGCACAGCCCAGCTGGTCTGTGTTCTCTTAAAACCACACGCCCCAGAGAGCCTCACAGCCCTCGGGGCCGCCGGGAAGCCTGGGGCAGCTCCCTGATGTCGATGCTCCACAACTTTCTCCTCCTCGGAGAGCTCTGATCAGCTAAGGCTCCCTGCAGCTGGGCAACAACACTCCCCAGCCTTCTGTCCCTGGGCCTCCAGTCCCCCGGGAGGAGGGGCATGCGCCCGGCCCCTGGCTTCCCCGGCCTCCAGTCCAGAGGTCCCACCGTTCTAGCCGCCAGGTGCACCGCCCTGGTCTCCTGACCCCCACAGGGCTGACAGTCTACCGCGCGCACAGGGAGGGAAGTTGGAGGCTGCTTGTGCCCCCCTTGAAGTCGTTTTAAAAATAAAACCTCGCTCCAACCGTGACTCACGCGGCTGGTGGGGACGGGAGAGCGGCGCCCGGGCCGGCGGGCTACCTCTCTTGGCGTGCGCCAAGCCCTCCGGTTCCCGGGTACTAGACCTGAGCCGGAACAGTCCAGCCCAGCTAGGCGACCCCCGCGGTCGGGGCCGTCTCCCTGGGGGCGCAGCGAGGTCTCAGGCCGGGGCTCCCGCCGAGCCCCCGCCCTTTCCAGCCTCTGCTGGGGAGAGTGGAGCCGCCGGCCGCGCACCCCGCGCCTCCCCGCGGCGGAGCCAGCGCCATGGGTACTCGGCTGTCGACTGGGGGGGCCCCCCTCCCGAAATCCCAAAGGCTGCGCGGTCCCCGCGGCGGCCGGGCAAAGCCGGGCAGCCGGATCCTGCGGCGCCTCCCTGCACTCTCCCACCCCGCCCCGCTGGCCCCGGCGTCCCGTCCCGCACGCTCGGACCCCAGCCCCCGCCCCGTGCATCCACCCTTACCTGCTCAACGGCCAGGGAGGCGGGTCTCCTCGGGAAACTTTGCGGCGACGGCTGGAGCCTCAGGGGTTATTCCAAGGAGCGGGCGGGAATTGGAGCCGGAGGGCGCCCACGGGGGCCCGGGAGAGGAGCCCCCGGCGCGCGGCGGGGCGCGGTGGCGGGCCCGGGGCTGGGGGCGCGCGGCGGCTCATCTGCCCGGCTCCGGCGCCCGGCGGAGCCGCGGGGGGCGTGCGCGGGGGTGCGCCCGGCGGCCGGGGTGCGTGTGCCCGGGTGGGTGCGCTCGGCGGAGCGAAGGCCAGCAGCAGGGCTTGCGCGAGCGGCGGCGGCGAGCAGGGCGCGGGGAACCAGGCTGTGCGGCCGCCTCTCCCTTCGCGGCGGCAGCGGCGGCGGCGGGGGCCGTGCGTGCAGGCGCGGAGCGGAGAGGGAGGGGAGGAGAGGGGAGGCAGCGGGCGGGGAGGAGGTGACGGGGGCGGGGGCGCCGCTCTGCGCACTGGCCGGCGGGACCGGGCGCGAGAGGCTGCGCCGCCGCGCGGGGACTCGGGCCCAGCCTGGGAGAATCGGCCTCCGCGTCCCCCTCCTCCTGCCCTCGGCTAAAATGGATGGGGAGGGTGGGGAGGTTGGGGTGTCGGTCCTCAGTGCGGCGGGGGCTGAGGAGGGAGGCTCCCAGAGCCAGCCTCCAGCGCGGGGGCGGGGAGAGAGAAAAGCGTTCTCCCTCACGTGCGCCTCCCCTTACACCCCTCCCCTCTGCACTCATTCATTCATCCTTCCAACCATCCGTCCATTCATTCATTCACAGTTACCCACCATCTACTGTGCGTGCCGAGGTAACCCCTTCCTCCCTGCCTGGCTCGCCTTCGCCACGGGGACCCCCTCGTCTGCCTTGCTTGCCTTGCTCCACCAAGCTGCCTGAGCGGGCAGTGCCCCGGGTCAGAGCCCAGCCCCGCCTTTCCCTTCACTAGCTGACCGTGACCTTGAGCAAGTTACTTAATCTCTAAATCTCAGTGTCCCCTGTTGTAAAATGGGAGCATTAACATCCTACCTGCAAAGGGTTAACAGGAGGGTTGAAGGAGACCTTGAACAGAAAGGTGGCTAGGGCCATGCCTGGCACACACTGAGGACTAGAGATGTCTGCACCTGTTGTGTGGGGTCTGGTGCGGGGGTGAGGGTGCGGGTGGACCAGACCTCCCTCCCCTGAGCCTGGAGAGTCCCCATGCTCTTGGCCTCCTCTGGGGTACTAAGGAGCTCTCTGTCTGCCTGGCCTCCCCCTGGCCAGACCTTCTTACCGAGCTCAGTCATCAGGCCCTGCAAACAACCCTTTCCCTGGAGGGCTGCTCTGAGCGAGTCCTTGCCTCTACCTAGAACCCCACCACCTCCACCTAGGCCCCACTGTTTGCCAGTCCACACCCAGAATGCCCACAATCTGGCTGGGACGCCTCCCCCTAGACCCATCCTAGCACCTCCCACCCACTGTCTGAACTGCAGGCCCGTGTTAGACCCTTCCCAGAGCCCAGTACTCCTTGCACTTTGCTGTCCGTCAATGCCTGGCCAGGCCACCCCTCCCCTGGGATGCCCTCCCGGCTTCTCCCTGGGAGAAGGTCACCATAAGGGATACTGGCGCACACACACACACACACACACACACACACACACACACACACACACACACGTCCTGTGCTCTCCCGGCCCTCTCGCTCCCAGCCTGGGAGCATGCTGAGGCCTCGCCTGAGGCTGCTGCCTCTCCTCACTGTGAGCACCCCTGCCTTGGCCCTTCTTCTGTCTCCCTCCTCACCCCTCCCTTCCCATTTCCTCCCCTTATCTCCCTCTCTTCCTTCCCCTGCTTTATACTCAATTCACCAAACAGCTATTTTTTTCCTCCCAACTTTTATTTATTGTCCAAGGAGCATTGTACCAACAATAAAGGAAAGAAAAATCACCCACACCGCCACCATCCTGTGGCGTCAACAGCCTCCATTCCTCCGCTCCCTTGCAGGTTTGTCCGTGCACTGTTGGCTGTAATTTTTACAGAGCTATGGTCTCCGTCCCGCCTCCCCAGACCCCCATAGACGTGGGGGCCCTGGGGCTCCGTCTTCCCTCCATCGTGGCCCTCAGGAATTATGCATGTCTTCCTTCTCTTCTAAACTGAATCCCTTGAAGGAGGGACCCCTTTCCACCCCTGCCACCCCCATGCCAAGCACAGGGCTGGCACGAAGCAGACACTCACAGCCTCGGAGTGGAGTGGATGGTATGGATATAGCGGTTTGACAGGTTGCACTTAGATATCAAAGTATCTTCTTCATAATAGTGGTTTTAATGGCTGCATGATATTCCATTGAGCTGCTGTACCTGGTGGCTACACACTGTTCAGGGAATATGGAGGTCCACCGTGCCAGGTGCCTTTTGGGTGCCAAAGACCAAAGGGAATCAGGCCTTACTGTACCCTGCCCTGGCAAAGCTGGAATCCAGCCGGGGGACGGCCACCTAAATAGCTTTGGCTTAGCGGGATCTTGCTGAAACAGACATCATTACCACGTGAGCCCTGGACACAGGGGCCAAGTCAACTGCAAGATCCGAGGATGGCTTCCCAGGGGAGGTGGCTGTTGAGCTGGTCTTGGAAGGTAGGGAGGAATGTTCTTGGCAGACACTAGAAGCTCATTTCAGCTTGTTCTCAGGGGCTATGATGTGAAAGAGCCTGGGGTTTGTAGATCTGGAATTCTTGGTTGGAGCTGGGGGTTAGGAGTCAACGGGGACCATGGTGGAAGATGGGGTAACTGATGTCAGCCAGGCCAGGTATACGGGGCCTTGGACAAGCCTGGAGAGTCTGGCCTTTATCTTGGAAGGAGTAGGGTGCCAGGGAGGCTAAGTACGGCAGAGGCACTATTGGCTATGAGATTCAGAAAGATCCCTCGTTCATTCAACAAACACTTGCTGAGCCCCTGTGTGCTGTGGGGCTCCCTGAGGGCATGGGCTCGTGGGGCCCTGGCCCGGGAAGACTGAGCTCGTCTTCGAGCCAGGCAGTCACAGAGATGCTCTCAGCACGAGGCAGCACATGTCACGCAGGGACAATTTGTGGCTTCAGCCGTGGGCTCGCCAAGCTCCAGATCCCCAGCTCCCAGGGCGGCAGTAACCCAGGCAGTGTCCGGCATCCAGGTGCAGTGGGCTCTATGCTGGGCAGCCAAGGTCACGCTGGCCCTGCCTGCAGCACCCCGGCCTCCCCGCCATCTGCCCGCCTTCTTGGGAGTCCTCAGATGTGGATCCTGCTCACCACCTCGCCACTTACCCGCTGCTGACCCCGGGCACTGTTGCAGCCTCCCTGTTCCTTATCTTAATGGGGCCATCACAGACCTCCTAGGGCTGCTGTGACAGTCTGATGCGGCCACAAGAGGAAAAGTGCTTTGTATACTGTGAAGTGCGGCAGCAGCACGACTCACCGTGATTAGACTGTTGTCAGCCAAGGTTGTGCCACCCTTGGCCGTGCTTGGGCTTGTTCTGGGCTGGGGGCAGCAGAAGGGACCACCTGACTCAAGAGGGGGGTAGGGTCTGCCCCACTGGATGGTCAGTGGGCATCACCAGGGACCCCTTCGCCCCAGGCTCGGTGCTAGGCATCCAGGAATGAAGTCCCCTGAGGGAGTGGTCAGGGACCAGCACCGCTGAAAAGGCCAAGAGCTGCTGTTCAGAGGGCATGACCTTGGACTTCAGCCAGCTGCCCAAGAGTCAGAGGCTCAGCCTGCCCCGCAGGCCCCAGCCTGGACATCATCTCCAGGGAGGGTAGATCTCCAGCCCCTCACCTGGATCCAGAGAGCCTCCTAATGGACTTTCTGCCCCATCTGGGGGTTCTTGGTCTTGAAGATCACTGCCCTCCAAGATCCCCAGGGTCCACTGCATCTGGGGGTACCTGATTGGGGGGTACCCAGAGAATCGCAGTCACTGAACACCTGGCCATCCCAGACTGTGGTCTCCTGGCGACACCCAGGGGCGCCCTGATATGTTTCCATGAATCGGCGTGTGGCCTGTGGGTAGGCTGGCTGTGCACACCTGGCTGGGAACGACAGTTCTCACTGGAAAGTCCCAGCAGCTTCTCTGATCCAAGTCCTAACACCACCACGCTCTCTCTTTTGCCACTGTGCACTAAACCTTTCCATCCTGCACAGCACAGAGGGTTGGGGCTTCTCCCCATAAGCACAGGGTCAGAGTACAGGAGAGGCAGGGGTGGGCCCCAGGGCAGAATTCCAGGGACAGCAAGGCCCCAGCCCAGGCGGAAGTCCCAGAGAGGGTGCTCCAGGGAACAGGCACAGCAGGGACAAAGTTAGGTAGGACAAAGCCGGCAACTCCCGAGGACAGGTGCTGGGAGCAGTGGGGAATGGTGGCCTGGGGCAGCTGGCCTGGGAAGCCGCTGGCCTTGTCCGGGCATTGAATCAGGGGTCCCGCTTCCCTGCACTCTCCCGCCTCTCCGGACCAAGCCAGCTCCTACTCACCTCTCAGCCCAGGGCTTGACCATCCTGTCCTTTGAGAGGCCTCCCTGAACCCATTTTTCCCAGTTGGGTCACCTTGTTCCCTCTGACCCCTCAGCTTCTTGGTAGCACTTAGCTCAGTCTGTGATTATGCATGATTTGTATGACTCCATTTTTCATCTACTAGACCAAACTTTCACATCTCTGAAATCGGGGCGCGGCTGGCAGTGTGTCTTCTTCCTCAGTTGTACATGAAGCCGTGGTGAGACTCAGAATCGATGGAGCCCGTGTTCAGTGTCGTGTGTTTTGTTAGTGTCTGTCTCTCCCAGTAGCCTGTGAGCCCCTTGGGGGCACATCCTGGGCCTCTTGTGGTCCCCACGTGTCCCCAGCACCTGCTGCAGTGCCGGGCACCTGGGGAGAGCAATCAGGCGTTGCTGAGTGTCAGGCTGGGACAGCCCCGCAGGCAACGTGACAGAGCTGCCCAAGGCCAATCGTGATTCCTAAAACTGCCCCAAGATGATGGCTCCAGGGGTTCAGAGGGGCGTCAGACACACTTCCAGCTACTGGAGTATGGCAGGGTAGGGTCCTGGTGTGTTTGTATGAGTTGGGGGTGATGGGAGGTGAAGGATGGAGATCAGAATGGACAGATACCACATCCAGGCCCCTGGGAGGGTGGGGAGAAGTACGCCAGAGAGAGTTAGAGCCAGGCCTGGGGAGAGGCAGGACCATGCCACCCCAGGGACAAGGGTTCC